ATGGGAGCAAAAATCAGAACATTCCATGATAATTTACTGTCAATATACAGGCCGAGAAATTTCGTGGAGTTTGTCTGGGCCAAACTTAGTCCATTTATTTGAACCTGCCCTGGAAGATTAATTAATGTGTTGCTAAAGAGCATAACATTAGTCTTATTCAAATTGAGAGACAGTTTATTAGCCTGTATACATTTAAATACAAAATTTAGTTCGTAATTCAAAATATCAAGAAGCATGTTGGGGTTTTTGTGAGAAAGAAATATATTTGAATCGTCCGCGAAGAGGAGGAACGAGAGAAATGTTGATGAGTTTTTGGAAATCATTGATATAAATAATAAAGAGGAGTGGGCCAAGGAGGGAGCCTTGTGGTCCCCCGCAAGATGTTAATTCTGAGTTTGAGTTTTGGTTATTAATGGACCCAAATTGGGTTCTACCAGTAAGGTAGCTTCGGAACCACTCCAAGGCCTTCCCTCGGATCCCGTAATGGGATAATTTGTAAAGTAGAATCTCGTGGCTAATTGTGTCGAAGGCCTTGGAGAAATCCAGAATAAAGCCAAAGGTATTAAGACGTATTATCGATAGGTTTTGCTACTTTATCAATTAACATTATTATTGCGTGCGTGGTTGTGTCTTTGGCGAAAACCAAATTGAGAATTTACTAAAATGTTGCCGGTGTTTAAAATTCGGATGGGGCGAGAATATATTAATTTTTTGAGTAATTTGGAAATTGATGTCAGTAAAGATATTGGGCGATAATTGCCTACGTCGTGGACATTACCCTTTTTATAGCCTGGAATTACCTGGGCAATTTTCATTTTACTTGGTACTATTCCATCTACCAAGGACAAATTAAATACAAATGTCAATGGAGAGACTATTTCATGGATAATAGTTTGGAGGAGATAATTTGAGATACCATCACAGCTAGAACTTTTCTTTACATTTAAGTTATTCACGATGTCAATAATCTCAGTTTCATATATGGGTACAAGAAATATTGATTGAGGATTTGGGTTTCCTAGGAACGAGTGGAACTAATTATTTGTGGCAGGGATTTTACTGGCAAGATCTGGCCTTATATTTACCCAAAAAGAGTTGAATGCCTCTGCTATGCCGAAAGGTTTTTTTTTAAATTTCGTTTCCGTTGTAAACGATCTTACTTAAATTCTATTTTTTTCTTTTCACCTTTTTTGAGAACATTATTGATAATTTTCCAGGTTGATTTTAGTTCTTTTTATGAGTGGTGAATTGGGGTGAATAATTATGTTTTTCCCTACGTATTACAGATGTTAGGGAATTACGATAGGAAGAATATTTTACCTTAGATTCATCTGTTCTTTTAGATTTATATTTGACTATTTTTCCGGTTAATGGATATGAGTACAGACTTGGAGATCCAGGGGGATCTAGGTACCTTTTTATAACTCGACTTGGAAGGTGATTTCACTGGAATATAGATATCACATAAAGCCATAATTATATCAACTAGCTTATTATAATCTTCATTAGCATCATTAATGTCAATAACTACAGACCAGTCAGTGAGTATCAGACTTGCTCTGAGTCTAGCTATATTTTCTTTTGACATATGACGTGAACCTACTTTGCCGATATTCTGAATATCAGGCTTGAATGTGTTAGAAATATGGGGGTACATGTAAGCACTGGGAAATGATCTGATATGTCAGAAACTGTAATGCCTTGATCCATACAATAGGAACTATTGGAGAACACATTATCAATAAAGGTTGATGCAGTATCAGAAATTCGTGGGGGTTTCGTTATACTTGGGAAAAGTGATTAAGAAGTCATGATATCCAAGAAATTACGACAGTGTGGTTTTTCATTATATTTAAATAGGTTAAGATTTAAATCGCCCATATAATGTTTATCGTTAAAGGACGGTGAGGTTAACATAGATTGTAATGTATTAATAAAATCAGTACAATTTGAGTTTGGTGGCTTGTAGATTACACCGACAATTATGTTTCTCATGAGAAATGTTCATCATGACCGAATTGTAAACCAGGCATTTGTAAATTTAAACGATAAATTTCTTCTAAATCAAAGTAGGCCGCGTTACTCTGGGGTGGTGTTGAATCATCAGAGTGGCTATAAGGAGTAAAAAAAAAAAAGTCATGAAGCTCATAGTTGGCGATTGTAAAGGAAAATTAGAGATCATTTACTGCGGCAAGAATTGGTGAGTTGAGATTATCAGCGAGACAACGCAGCTAAATGCGTAGGGCGATGACCAAATAATTTGAATCAACCGATGTCTATTGATATAGGTGTGGTTACGTAATCGTTGGGTAGGAAAAAAGCAAAGAAACTGCCTCGCCAGGGCGACCCCGGTAACGTGAATATTGCATTATACTGAGATTGTTTACACCATAATGTACAAAGCAAATGCGAACATAAGGCAGGTGACACATATGAATACGTTATGAGTAGAACATAGGTAACATTATATGCATTGAAACTTGCTTTCCAAAATGAGAGGTAATGAAACTTGTTATGAGCATTGTGAATGAATAACAAAAATTCAAAGAAAGATTCAAACGCGTACTAGTAGAAATACACCTAAATTCGAGATTATGTGTAAATACAAGTGTACATATGATATCCAGCTACTTGACAATTTCGAGATAACTTTATCAGAATCCTGTTTGTACACGTGATTTTTCAGAAAGATGTCCATGAGATAGATGATCACCGTTTCCAACATGTGAAGGGCGATGACGATGATATTGTGTTTCGGAGGGGAACACTAAAAGTCGCTTGCCAGCTGGGTGAGAAGAGATCCAAAACACAGGTACACGTTAGCATACTTTGGTTCTCAGAATTACCTATACTTAGTTAAAATAAATTGAAACAAGGGTCATGTGGAAACTGGACACAAGAACAGTTTATGATAAAAGGTAGAACAACCAATGTAGAGCCAAAAGGAGAAAAGTTAAAACAAAGTGCCAAATAACTGACAATTGAATCATTCTAATGGTGATGATAATGATAATGAATATTCATAGACCAACACTACTAGGAATATACATATATATTTACACATACACAAAGCAGGCTTCGGGTAGAAAATAAAAAAACCCGTAAAGTATACGTAACACATGCATGTATATAATTATAGTAAGCGAACGAGTGAGGAATTTGAATGATCCTTTAACGAAATTCACTGAAAAATCAAAAAATAGGTCCATGCATGTATACGTTGGTGGCCGGGATGAAGAAATTGAATTTATCTTGAAGAAATTAGATGCGAAACATGGAATCGATTGGAAAAAGATTGAAAATACAGACGATTTTTCTTCATTTATTTTCATCAGTACTCCCTACATTTGCGTTTTGGCGCCTATTTCATACAATCATGAATTCAAATTAATTATTTCCTCAGGTCATTCAGTTCAGTGAAATGAAGAATCATCCGAAACTGACAAGGTACTTTGATCTCGATCTAATTGAGGAGAGTGATGAGACATTAGTGACACTTGAAGTGATTCTAACCTCCACACAGACGATCAAATTCAACACAAATTTCCAAGGTAAAACATTTCATACAGATGCTTAGTTGTTCTAACCCCTGAGTATCGATATTTCATAGCTTATCACAAAGGACCTATTCCGGCAAAATGACATCCTATATGGTTATATGTACGGTACAACTCGACATGTGGTGCATAAACGCACCACAGAAATTAAATGATCGCAATATTAGAATAAGTAGAAATTAAAGGTATAGACCAGTTTTGGAAACGCCCCTCTCTCAAAAAATGAAATGGAAGCTTTTATTGTGCAAGAATATGATTTGACTAATACGTGATGATACATATATTTGGTAAATTATCATATTAATCCAGCCTGGATAGATATCGCGAATGCACTTCAACATAGAACATTTGGGCATATATTTCTGCTTTTTTTTTGCGAATTCAGGTTGAAGTATATTGAAACATTATTGAATGGATATTTTGCACCCGAAACCTTTGAACCACAATTTTACCACTTCCGGTCTATATCTTTAAGGTTAAAGCGACTTTACAATCAAAACTTGATATCATGATGTACATGTAGGCCTATGTTTATTTATTTTTGTTTTGTTTTTATCATGAATAAAGTTTAACTCTAAGCATTGTAAAGGCCACCACTCGTTCGTATATTTCATGCAACCATACGGTTGAAGACGAAATAAATATAAAGACGTATTTAGATTACCTGTATATGAACTAAACTATGGACGAAATGGTTCTTGGAGTAATTGGGGTTCAGACCATTTTATTACAGACAAAATGGTAAACGGACCGAATAATGATGGACCAAAAGGTAATTGGATCAAGTCGTAGAAATTATTGATTTGAGGAAGTGGCAATTAGAATCACATGACTAAAGATTGGCCCTATTTGCTATTTAGACAAAATAATGATTGTACGATCATTATTTTGAAATGGAGACGTTGGAAACTCCGGAAAAGTTAAAGGTACTACAAAGTTTTGGGAAATTTTGAAAATTGGGTGGATAGTGGTTCTTTACAATTGTGATATATTTGGATGCCCCTGTGGATGTATTATAAGCACTAGGACATTAAGCCCCTAAAACACTTCTGCTTTCGAAAAAAATTGAATATAAAAATTTACCGGTGCTCCCGGTAAATTTTGATCAATTTCAAATAGCGCATACGGCCGTACAATGGCAGCTGCGACCATGAAAATCTCAGAATATGTAGCTGTGATATATAATTTTCAAGCGGGAATAGCTAATCGGTCGATCTTAGTCAAGAAACATTGTTTCATAGCTAAATTAATATCTTGACCTTGGGAGGGAGCTATACAACATAAAGAGTTTATTGTTTACAATTTCATAACTTTAAACTCGATTTCAAACTCGACAACGATCACTGAATATTGTAGGATCGCATATGCATCCAATATGTTCATTTGAACCGAATTCATTACCCAATACCAAAACTTTGTATTACCTTTAAGTGTAGGGAATATGGGGAGGCTGTATCCATTAGACGAACAATAATAAAACAGAGTATTGTGCTTACACAATTGGTAACCGGTAAAATGTGTGTACATGACAGGGATCAACAAAGAGACTACGGGACAGAATGCTCCTTCACCAAACATCGATGAAATGTGAGTAGAACCACATTATATGTGTTTGTGTGTGTGTATGGATGGGTATTTATTGATACCGAGTGAGTCCAAAAAAGTTTACACCTAGAAAATTGCTAATTATTTTAAAAATCATCTATGAACAGTACATTATTATACATATTATGAAACAGTGTTTTATCCCAAATCATTTGGTATCATTTTTGTGTGGAATGTGTTCACGCTTGGATGAACATGAGGCATTGTTTGCAAGAGTGCAAAAATCGACTTGCGTCAAAGGGATGCCTTCAGCATGTATTATGTTGCATGGGATTAGCGGACTGAGAGAATTAATTGAACGTATCAAATGAAATGCATTGCATATGCTTTTTGCAGGAACAAAGTCACACACACACGCACGCACAAATGTTCGTTGATATTTGATATTCGATATTTGATATGTGTGGCATGATTAGTTTTGTTAGGGATGTTACTTGGATCTGCAAAGACCGAATTAATACCCAAGTCCCAATTGTTTTATTCAAACATCACACAAGCAACTTTGGTACAAATCGATTTTTGCACTCTTTCAAACAATGTCTCATGTTCATCCATGCATGAACACATACTACTCAAAAATGATACCAAATATTTTGGGATAAAACACTCTTCCAAAAGATGTATAATCACTTACTGTTCAAACATGATTTTTAAAATAATTAGCAGTTTTCTAGGTGTTAACTTTTTTTGACTCACACGGGTAAAAGGAAGTCTAGATTTTTGCTCGGAGTTGTAGAAAATATTCACATATTCAAGAACAACATTAATGTTACTTCGTACACAAATAAATTGTTTCCACGTTTAGAGCTTCGTCAACTAATGATTTTGATCGAAAAAATATTATTGTTATGCATCAAATTTTGCGCATTTTATATGATTTAATAAGTTATAAATAAGTCTTATATAATATGTTTATAAAAACTTTATATGAATATCTTAAAATGAGACGATGGTTTAATGCATTATTACGAATTGATGAAATACAATTTTAACAATTAGCAGTAATGGAATATTAAATCTTCTCTTTTATAGTTCACTTGACGTCTTCAAGGAGACATTAACTGATATTATAGAGATAGACTCAACATACTTTTTTTTTTATTGATTTCAAACAATACAAATCAATCTTAAAAATAGAATACAGTTGTTTTTCATCTTGACATGAATTCAAAACATTTTCATTACATAGATTGGTCGATTGATGAAAACAAAATGAAATCAGTTGTAACATAAAGCAAATAACCCCATAATATAATAATATAATAATAGCCTAATAGTCCACTCCAAATTTTATTAAACCGAAACGGAAACTCTTTTTGCCCAATTTATCGTGAGCCCGGCAGCCACTGAGCAGCGCCAGATCGGCGTTGCTCTATCCCCTATCCAACGATACACACTTATACCCCCCCCCACCATGCGACACACACATATACCACACACTGTTCCTAGCCTCCTCAGAATACCCAACATTGGAGCGACAGAAAAATAGAAATAATCTATTTCACTAACATACAAACACACGCGCTCACATACACACACACACACGCACACACATATAATCATGTAATTATGTACATATATATATATACAAAGTGGTTAATGTGTCAAGAAGAAGAAATGTACGGCTGAAGTGAAGCATTAGAAAATATATAATATAAAATCTGTATTCAAAATAATTGCGGTATTAAACACATACGTCCCGTCACAAAGCTTATGTTTTCCAACTTTCTTAGTCACGCATCCATGAATGTAAGAGGCTGGTGTGTTTTGCTTGAATATCAACTACCAGGATTCTAAACTTTGCAAGCGAGCGAAGCGTTTGAGTATTTGTTTACATTAATTTTAGTCATCAAACTCATGTATATTTGACCTTGAAAAGAGAACGATAAAATATGAAGAGATCATCTCGCTGCCTGAAAATGATTTTCCCCCAGAATTGTATATTGAAAACTATAAGAGCTAAACATGTAAGAGCTAAAAATGCTGAATGTAAAAGTGCCGTGGTATTTGTATACATTAAACCTGTAGATCTGGGGTAGTTGCCCAGAAGGTAAATGCCCGTGGTTATATTTCCAAGAGTCGGTAGTCCGAATACGACTTATAGTCTTACAGTACATCTCAATATCAGGTTGAATATTCAGTCCAGGAGAAAATAACTTAACTATATTGTGAGGCAGAGGTTTAAATGATGAATGCTCCACTTCTTGTGACTTATAGACTTTATTCTTTTCTTATTTGGCCTATCCTTTTATTTGTTTTTAAGTATCTGAAAGCCTTAAATCTAGAAAATCATTCCTAGACAACAAATTTGTCGCAAATTTTGGCCCGTGCTGCGACTTGACTGTTTATTAAAAGCCTGCTTATCCAGGTCAAATTCATTGTTCGTTCTCTTGCAAATGCATTTTCTAATATATTTATGAAATGATTTGTACAGTAAAATATCGAAGAGCTAACATTTATTTCTTTTCTGGCGGAGCGAATTAAAGAGAATTGGTGACTTTCTGCCTAAGCATAATACAATTATAATTCTTAAATTTCAGTCCATCGGATGAACAGAAAGTGACAGATGCGAATATCCTGAAACTAGCAAGGCTTCTACCACCTAATCTGTGGAGCCCTCTTTACGTTGCTCTTCGCATCGATTACAGCATCGCTAAAGGTATCAGAGAGAATTCTAGAGAGATGAATGAGCAGTACATAGATCTCCTTCAAATATGGAAATCTGCATCAACTCGGACTAGAAAGGATTTAAATGCGATCCTCATCCAGGCAGAAGCAGGAGGATTTGTAGACAAGTATTTGGATTCGGTGTAAAACCAGAAAGAGAGATTAAGATAGAGTAAGAGAGAGAGGGAAAGAGAGAGAGAGAGAGAACGGGGGGGGGGGGGGGGCGAGGCAATGTGAAAACAAATATGATATAGAATAAATGGATAGTTTTCAGCAGAAACATAATCGTTCGTCACAATGTTGTTAACGCTTGATAGTTATGCAAGTTTGGCTTTTTTCCGTTTCCTTATTTGGGGGTTGTTTGTTTGTGTGTTTGTTTTTTAGAGGCGGATGTTTGTTGTAGAAAGCAAGTGCGTAATTACATGGTGACTGTTTCATATACACGTACATAAATCTTTATGAATACAGTTCATTAAACACCGAAATATGACCATTCTTCTTTTTGCAGATGTTTTCAATGGTCGGTTGAAATAGTAATGTGATGAAAGATCTTAAATTATATCACTTCGTGTAAATCTGCCTTGTCAATAAATTGTAGAGATTTATGTTTTTGTTTCCATGACCAACCCGCATTTTAATAACTTCAACATGCAGATGCATACTGTACTATTGATTTCTTGGTGTGTGGTTTTCAGTGCCCCCCTTAACTCAACCGATCTTTGATAAAGTTCTTAAAGCAATGTAAATTACTTTCATGTGTATACGTTCATTATTTATAGATGCTTGCATCTTCTGCTGATATTGTTAGTTTTATATATGATATTCTGTGTAATATTCCCTGCAGCTTATAACTTAGGATATAACGATATAACAACTATGGAGGCTAAAAATCAAAGCGCGAACTTGTACGTGTTGTGTTAGCGACCATGTTTGTACAAAATGTATATATTCTTTTTATTTTTGCGTTAATTGTTTCGTGTAATACTTATTCTGCATCTCTAACGTGTTGTTGCATTTGGTTTGAGCAGAATTTCAAAAATGTAAATATCTACTAGAGGCGGTATTCTGAAAGCTTAATTAACTTGCCTTTAAAGTCTTCAAGTTAATCTATTCAGTATACTAAAAGCTCACTTAAATTACATTTTAAATCCGAAAGTTAAGTGAGCGGTAATATACATCTAAATTGGTATTCTAAAGCTCATTTAGCGCTCATTTAACTCCTGCGTCATTAAAGAATGCCCACTCCATCTTTTTAACCCATTTCTGTAACAAAGAAAATGGATGTATGAATTTCGCCAATTTCAACATAGGAAAATCGTGTAGTAAACCATAGCCTGCTAGTCTCGGTTTCAAAGGGCCATGTGATAATGAAAATTTGCTTGACTTTAATCACCCACCAAATGTTTAAAAGTGTAATTGACACCGCTCCGTCGTGATGAAATGAATAAGGACATTCTTAATTAATCAAAGGGGTCATCCTTCCGCATTTAATTACTTCGCGCACTCTACAGCCGTCTTCTTTTAGAATGGCGCCCATGTCGGCGCATGCGCACTCTTGTAACCGTGAGAGGGTTTATTGAGCGCATAAGATATGTATGTACAACGTAAGCGTGTGTCCATGTGTAGATATAGGCCAATGTTATTAATGTACAATTGCGTAGACAAATCTTACCATGTAATAAACTTTCAAGATGCCAAATATGATTTAGGATATGACTTCTTATTGCAAACATGAAACAAGTGATGTATATTTTTATAAAATGCCATCTCACGAGGCAATTCCCGTGAAAAAAATATAAATGTGTTTTATCTGTTGAGCGTAACACATTATTATTTAGACAGTTTTGCTATTGCAAATTATTTTTGGTTTGTATCACTTAAAGAATACATGTCAATTTGAATGGAATATGTGTCAAACCCTAGGCCTAAATACATGTGTATATTATATATACGTATTGAAGCACTTCTGTGTGTTTCTTCATGCAATATTTGTTTTAATGTATTATGATTGTTATTGTGTTTGAAAGACTATTAAATGATATTGTTTGTGTATGTTCATCTTGATAATACTAAGCAATGTGATGAACCATGTATAAATAAATGAATAATAGAGGAGCATGATTTGTCACTCATCGGGTAAGCATGGTAAAAGACCTGATATCTTTGTCACAGTTTAGTCGTTTTAATTTTCAATTCTCAGATCATGCCCTACAGGAAGAGTGATTTTTGGTTCTTCAGTTAAAAGAGCCAACATGAAATCAAAAGCGAAGTCTGTTGATGAGCTCAGCATTTCATCCATCCGATAAGAGACCCCCATGCAACCTGTAAATAAACTCGTAGGGAACATATTTCCCTATCTTACACGAGAAAACGGCGAATATTAATGTACAATTGCGTAGACAATACTTACCATGTAATAAACTTTCAAGATGATAAAGATATGACTTTATATTGCAAACATGAAACAAATGTTGTTTATTTCATAAAATAGCATCTGGATGGCATCACGAGGCAGTTCCCGTGAAAGATTAATTCTAAATGTTTTATATCTGTTGAGCGTAATAGACAGTTTTACTATATTGCAAGTATATTTAGCAAATTGATTCTGTTTGGTTTGTATCACTTAAAGAATACATGTCAAATTGAATTTTAATATGTGTGACAACGTCTCAATTAAACCGTAGGCATATATATGTGTATATAATATATATTTATTGAAACACATCAGAGTTCTGAGACAATAAACCAAATCTACCATTGAACCAGATTTGATTATACTTGCAATATTCCTCTCAGATATTGTGCGAACAAATATTATTAAACAAAATAATAACAAGAGGTTAACAAACGGAGCTTCACATGTGAATAAAGAAAACATAAAGTAGTCCAGACCTACCATGCAGGGGCGTACGCAGGATTTTTTCAAGGGGGGGGGGGGGGGGGTTTAAAATATTTTGCTTCCGAAAATTTGAAAATCGCGCCGGCCGCTCAGTGGGGGGGGGGGGGGGGGGGTAAGCGGACACTTTTTTTTTTTTTTGTCTCGATTTTTTTTTTTTTAATAATTAAAAAACAAAAAACAAAGGGGGGGGGGGGTTAGAACCCCCAAAGTCCCCCCCCCCCCCCCCCTGTGTACGCCCCTGCTACCATGCAACCATCACATTCGGCTGCGGTTCTGTTTACACACGTTCTGTATTTCCCCTGAACCATAGCTGGGTTCGTGCTCGGTAAAATGATATGCTAAAAACCTGATATAATAAAGAAGAAATAAAAACAAGATTAAAGAAAACTCGGTGCGTACGTTCTCATACTTCTCCCTGAAATGAATACATGTGCTCGAGAATGAAAAGTTGAAGTGTAATGAGTTAGTGTATCATCAGTTACCGTTATTTCTTCGTACAACAGAATATTTGCTAAATGAAATGTCTTGAAAATTCGATGATATTCATATAAAAACACCCACGAATGATTTTTCACCGATCTGCTGCATTTAGCAAGGAGCATTAAAATAATGGAAATGTTCAAATTTGCATAAGAAAGAAACAAATACATCTACTAATTATACAGCAGAGTATTAAACTTTTCTTTCCTCATAATTATCCATATCACAATATTCGCACGCTGACTGTATAACTTTTGTATTATATAAATATATATGACAAAATTATGTTATTATGTTAAGGACTACATAATTTATATATTGTCTTCGTAACGTTTTTTTATATTTCGTTTCTACATAATAATTTTTTATTCAACCATCGTGTATGTAATTTTTTTTCTTTCAATGTATACATTTAAGAATGTAGCTCGTTATGTATTATCATTTTGATTTGTAAATAATGCACAATTCTAATTTGTGTTGCAACGTATGATCGGTTTTCATTGAAATAAATACATTTTTAATGGAATTGAAAATTAATTCCTGACACTTAATTTGTCAAGGAAATTAAAATGAACACCGTGTTTGTTTGTTATGCTGCCCTCTTACGGGCAATGCTAAGCAATAATTACTGATGTTTGTATTATTGGATGACCTTCGCAGTTCGACCGGCATCTTGTTCGCGTATATGCATGTCCCAATAAATGGTTGATTAAACTCTGAATTATTGTGGCTATAGGAGCCTTTTTTAATGTCGGTGTGACAGTAGGGATAAGTCCTCTGAAATTTACTCTTAATAATTATGGCTGTTCCGCTACAATTATGTCACGCATTCAGTTGGCAAATCCTGTGTCTTGATTAGCCTGGAAGGGGCTCTAGTCAGACAAAATGATTCTATCGTTGTTTAATTATCTTTCATTTTTTCCTTTCTCCTTTATAAACTCCTTTCTCTCTTTCCCCCCTTTTTTTTTTTTTTTTTTTTTTTTTTTTGGGGGGGGGGGGGGGGGTTCTTCCCGTGCTTTTTTGTGGGGGGGGGGGGGGGCTATACGCCTTGCAAGAGGGACTCCATATAATGCACACTATAAAATTGCGTTCCACCCCCCCCCCGGCCCTTTCCCGAAAAAAAACACCTTCTTATAATATCATCCCCCTTTCTTTCTTTTTCCCCCTCATTATCCTCCTTTCCCCTTTTCTCTTCTCCGTCTCTCCCCTTTCTTCCTTTCCCGCCTTTTCTCACCTCTCTCTCTCTCTCTTCCCCTTTCTTCCTTTCTCCCTCTTTTTCTCCTCTTCCCTTTTCTCTCCTCCCCCTTTTCTTCTTTCTCTCTTCCTTTTTCTTTCTTTCCCCCTCCTTTTTCTTTCCCCGTGCCCCCTGTGCCCCCTTGAATCCGCCACTGTTATACCTGTATAGCTTTACAGTTTCCTGCGTTCTGATTGACCAGCTGGATAGACGTATAGTCGTATAGTTATGAATTTGTACGGATAGTGGCATGCTTGGCCCGCCATATACCCCGCCATATTTAGCTCGACTAGTTCTTAACACGACTTTTACCCTAGGGTAATGTTTCTCCGTCTGAACAACAGGGCCGTAGCCAGAGTTTGATGATGGGGGGGGGGGGGGGGGGCACATACATGCAATTGATCGACGTCCCGAGGAGGGGTCTAAACAAGTTCAACCGATCTTGGATTATTATTATTATTTTTTTTTTTTTTTTTGGGGGGGGGGGGGGACGTGCCCCCCCCCGTGGCTTACGTGCCTGCTGAACAAGACTTTTATAAGGTGGCGGTGGTCATGATGTGATCAAAGAAAGACTCTCATTATCAGTCAATCTGTAGCAGGGTCCATGTTCAAAGTAATCTATTTAATCGTGTATCGAAAGCATCGTATACAAATATACTTTGGCAGCACCTGAAATTGAAGTGTTTTACGGGTCAGGGTATTCCATGACACTTGGGTAAGCAAACAATCCGTTTATGAGTTTTTGTGTAGCTGGGAATCTTCGCACTATAAATACTAAAGTTCCAAACATTGTGTTTTAAAGGGATAGTTGAGTTCTGTTTTCAGACCGCAAATGCCTTCAAAGTGCATGGTTATTGCTCTTATTCGTATCTATGACATTGCTTGTGCCCTTTTTTAACCTAAATTTGCTATGAAGGTAATTTTAGACCCCAACATGTGTGAAATTTAGCCAATACGAGCATACCATTTCAGCTCCACTTAAAAAAAACACGGTTACCGTTAATTAATTATTTAATTAAAAATAACATTATAAGGGCCGGCTGGTTGTGCGTAATATAAGCACCACGAAAATGTCAACAAAAAAGCCAACATCGGCATTGGCTTGAAATACGACGAAAAAGACGTTATTTCGTTTTTTCAACATTTTTTTTCAAATTTTTCAAAATACCTAATATTTGTGGTGGTACACAAGTATTTGAAATCGTTATATTTCAGCCGTCTCTGAACCGATTTTGATCAAGCAAAGATGATTTTGTCATTTAAATATTATGTTCTTTCAAATTTGAAACTCAGATTTTCATTATCTCACAATTTTTTTTTTAATATCCCTTTAACCTTCCCAACAAAGAGAGATAGAGAGGGGGGGGGGGTGTTTTGTTCCCTTCTTAGAATTAAATTTGATGCAATTCTGTCTCTTTTCTTGCTCTCTCGATTCGACGTTTAACTATGCATGGTAAATATTAATACATCTTGACAAACTCTTGTGAACTTAATAGTTCCAAGGAAGCAGATTAATATCTCAGAAAAGGCACCAAGCTACCTTAAGCCTGCCCGGTGGAAGTGGCTGGGACTAATAATGAATGTCTACCCAAGTGCACTAGACCACGTTGACTAATTTTCAACAGGGACTTCCATAAAGAATATTTCGTAATATGTATTTTGCTTAGATATGTAACTTCCATGGACTGCAATTAAACGGATAAATACTGTTGATTGTAAATTTCGTCATCTTCGCCTCTGTTACCGTTATCGCCATATTTTCATTACAGTACTGGAAACGTCATCGTCGGCGTCGTCGGAAATGTCGTCTTTGATATCACAATTACGGTTTTCTTCAGTTGGATTTTTGCCCCAACCTTTACCGCATTATAATTACCATACCAAGCGCCATAATCAGCGTTAATGTTTGCTTTGTTCATGAGTAATTCAATTGTGAAAGGATGGGAAACAGCGGCATGTATCCACGAATAGTTAGTATTTCAATTAATTGTAGTGAGATACGTCATTAGGGGGGCAAATTTATGTTTCTCTATTACGAATTATTTCATAAGATATTTAAAAAAAATGGACTGTTTGTCCTTTTGTGGGCAAGACGATTTCCCCCCTTGAACATTTACAACGTATTGTCTTGTGAATATATGTCACCTTGAAAAGACGAACAGTACAAACGTTCACAACCTTTATTTTAGAGTGAGCGGGAAGGGGGGGAGGGGTCAAAAATGCACTCGCTATATATTGATTTAAATGTTGATGACTGTCATAAATTTGAAAAAGAAAAGAGGAGGCAAACATACAAGTTTAACGGTGGAATATGAATGACAAATATTTGAACTACGATTTAGTTCACGGCATAGGACTTTGGAACTTGTTGAAAACGACAAAACTAACAACTGCACATTGCGAGGAAAAAATGAGTATATTGTATGCTTATGCTTGTAGCCTGCATAATGTGACTGGCTTGTCTGTTATAACAGATTAATCGTATCATTTCAAAGTCGAGCGTAATGAAAGAAGCATAACAAGGAATTCAGATAGCTTAGGATGTCTGGTAAACCGGTGCTTCTTCAAGTATGGAGGACATAAATCAACAGCTGCATGAGGTAGTATTTGGGGGTAATATCAAAAGCGTCAAAGAATTGCTAAAACAGGGTTCTTATATAAACCAGCCAGACCAAGATGAATACTCATACGTACACGTGGAGGTCCTTTATGTCCAGAAAACTGTCACCGAAAATCTCATCAATCAAGGAGCTGAGGTCCGTAAGGGTAATAATGAAGGTTGGATTGCATTACACGAAGCTGCCAAGAATGGTCGTCTTGATGTCACAAAATATCTCATCAGCCAAGGATCTAAGGTGAATAAAGGAGATAACAACGGTTTGACTGCATTACACTGTGCTGCTTTTAATGGTCATCTTGATGTCACCGAATATCTCATCAGTCAATTAGCTGAGGTAAATAAGGGTGATAATAAGGGTTGGACCGCACTACACCGTGCCACAGGGAATGGTCATCTTGATGTCACAGGGTATCTGATCACTCAAGGAGCTGAGGTGAATAAGGGTTGTAACGACTGTTGGACGCCTTTACACCATGCTGTTCAGAATGGTCATCTCGATGTAACAAAATATCTCATCAGCCAAGGATCTGAGGTGAATATGGGAAATAATGAAGGCTGGACTGCATTACATAGTGCTGCTCAGGGGGGTCATCTTGATGTCACCGAATATCTCATCAGTCAATTTGCTGAGGTAAATAAGGGTGATAATAAGGGTTGGACTGCATTACACAGTGCCACAGGGAATGGTCATCTTGATGTCATCAAATATCTCATTAGCGGAGGAGCTGAGGTGAATAAGGGAGATAACGACGGTTTGAATGCATTACACATTGCTGTTCAGAATGGTCATCTTGATGTCATCAAATATCTCATCAGCAGAGGAGCTGAGGTGAATAGGGGTTATAACGGCGGTTGGACGCCATTATACCTTGCTGTTCAGAATGGTCATCTTGATGTCATCAAATATCTCATCAGCCAAGGAGCTAAAGTGAATCAGGGAAATAATGACGGCAGGACTGCATTACACTGTGCTGCTTCCAATGGTCATCTTGATGTCACAAGGGATCTCATCAGCGGAGGAGCTGAGGTGCATAAGGGAGATAACGACGGTTGGACGCCTTTACACCGTGCTGTTCAGAATGGTAATCTTGATGTCATCAAATATCTCATCAGTGAAGGAGCTGGGTTGGATAAGGGAACTACTGTGGGTTCAAGTGCATTACACATTGCTGCTCAGAATGGTTATCTTGATGTAATCAAATATCTCATCAGTGAAGGAGCTGAGGTGAATAAGGGAAATAGTAGGCGTTTGACTGCATTACACAATGCTGCTTCCAATGGTCACCTTGAAGTCACCAAATATCTCATCAGTCAAGGAGCCGAGATGAATCAGGAAGATAATGACGGAAGGACTGCATTATGCTTTGCTGCTTTTAATGGTCACCTTGATGTCACCAAATATCTCATCAGTCAAGGAGTTGAGATAAATAAAGGAGAAAGCGAATACACTGCATTACAATGTGCTGTTCTCAACGGTCATATTGATGTCATCAAATATCTCATCAGTAAAGGAACTGAGGTGAATACGGGAAATAAAGACGGTATGACAGCGTTACATAGTGCTGCTCTGGAGGGTCATCTTGATGTCACCAAATATCTCATCAGTCAATTAGCTGATGTCAATAAGGGTGATAATAGTGGTTTGACCCCATTACATAGTGCTGCTCAGGGGGGTCATCTTGATGTCACTAAATATCTCATCAGTCAAGGAGCTGAGGTGAATAAGGGAGATAAGGACGTTTGGACTGCATTACATATTGCTGCTGTGAAAGGTCATCTTGATGTCACGAAACATCTCATCAGTCAAGGAGCTGAGGTCAGTAAGAGTAATTGTAAAGAATGGACTGCATTACACATGGCTGCTCAGAATGGTCATCTTGATGTCACCAAATATCTCATCAGCCAAGGAGCTGAGATAAATAAAGGAAATAAGGACGGCAGGACTGCATTACATAGTGCTGCTCGGAATGGTCATCTTAATGTCACCGAATATCTCATCAGCGAAGGAGCTGAGGTAAATAAGGGTGATAATTGGGGTTGGACTGCATTACACAGTGCCACTGAGAATGGTCATCTTGATGTCATTAAATATCTCATCAGTCAAGGAGCTGAGGTGAATAAGGGAAATAATGATGGTATGACTCCTCTTCACCATGCTGTTCGGAATGGTAACCGTGATGTCGTTATAGTCCTTCTGGCAGGAGGAGCACGTTCTGACACAGGGGACATTAATGGGCACACACCTCTAAGATTATCTTTAGTTCTCGGATACCAAAGCATCGTTGATCTCTTCATCGACCGTTCAAATTACAAGGTAAACTGCATATAAAAATACAAATGTATGTAACTTGATGTATTTAATAAGTGACTGTGGAACAACAAATACTAACATTGAATTAAGTGAATATAGTCTAAGGTTTCCCATCATCGTTTTTTTCAGTCTTGACCAGCTCGATGTTGTAGCACCTATAATAACCATTAGTAATTATAACACCAGTTAAACTTCAATGTTGTTTCTTTGGATTTAATTGATCACCTGGCAGTACTTTTGTTCTCAGAAATTCGGTTTTACTGGCATTTAAAAAGAAATTTATCATGTTTTCATGCCGCGTATTTTCTTATATCCTGCTGGACTAGAATGATTTAGCGGGTATCCATCTTGCCATCCAAGACGGTCATACCTCCACTATTGAGAAGTTAGTTTCTGAGGGAGCTGATCTCAATGTCCAGTCAACTGACGGCCAGACGTGTCTCCATAGAGCCATTAAACTCTGCTATGAGAGCGGCAGAATTGTGGATGACACGGATACACTAAAAGAGGTGAGTTGTACCTCAGGAACACAAACTAGACTGACACCAGACCGACGAGAGTCTGAACAACAAATTACGATACGGCCAAATATTGGTAAGATTTTTGGAGTCTGCATGAAGAATGTGCTCCTTTAGGTCATTAGTGACTCCTAAAATACGATAGCCGTGATTGGCCAAAGAAAATGTGTATGTTGATGCTTGTGCGTGTGTTCGTGCGTATGGAGGGAAGTTTGCAACGTACATAGTTATTTCTACTATTGTGAATCCAAGAGGCAGCGTTAAACTATGCGTAGGGTGTTCATTTGACGAACGGTCCTATTCTAATACAAAAGTATATATTTTTATGTTTCAGATCTCTGATGAGTATTACAAGGGCGAACTGTCTCCTGAGAAGGCCTTGGTGTTTTATCTCCTAGAGAATGGAGCCAAGTTAGATGTGAGGGACACAACAGGCAACCTACCAATTCAATACGCCAAGGACGAAGTGGTCAAACAGATGATTTTGTCGAGGTGATACTTTAAGTCTAAACAAATTAGCCTTTTGTCCCCTCCAGTTTTAAAAAACAAACAATTTAACAAAACCCAAGGAAAATAAAGCATTTGTTCATCTTCCACTTTTGATATTTGGTAATAGAATCTTGTCTCTTTTTTGTTGTTGTAACTCTAGCCTTATTGTAAATCTTACCAGTTAAGTATAAATGTATTTTTCAAACAATAAATTGTACATATATTGTGACAATTGTGACCTTTACTTGTACATGAAGGCCGTAGAGTCCACCTCATCCTTGTTTTATTCTAATATACTCAGATGGTCAGTATATATACACATATAAGAAAAATTGTATTTTTCTTCTTTTTGTAGACTCTTTTTTTTCTTCAAATAATGGGCCTCGATAAGTGTTTGACATTTAACAGTTGTTTGATGCATGTCAATATCATTTAAGTAATATACCATAGGTTGAAACAAATACACGTTTTCACAGCACAAATTGTATAGGAATATCTTATCGACTTCCGCACTGATTATTTTCAGGTTACCTTCTTTGGAGGAGATCCAGACTTACCGAGGTAAGAACGTCCTTCAAACACAATCAGCTTTTTCTCAGTATAATAGCTAAATAAGTGATTCTAATTAGTTCTTATCCATTAAGTCACATCTTAAAATCTAGCAATAACCCTTCTTTGTTTTCCATCTCAAAGAAGAAGGAATTTAATAATTCATTGTCTGGGCCATTTACTTAATCGCACACACAAATCACTCAGCTACTCCCTACTAAATACTGCATTTGTATTTATGAAAAACTAAGAGTCATGTTTCCATCAATTACCCAAATACGAGCCATGAACGTTGGGTGAGCCCTCAATTTAAAAAAGCATATATAAATACACAGATGGATATAAATAAAGATGCAATACCGATACAAAATTATAGATTTACCATATACCCAGGGAGGTGACATGCCCTGATATACCCTAATTCAACTATTACAAACCAGGAGGGAACGTCAGTGTTTGGGTAATTAACTCAACCTCTCAGTTTTAATAGAGTGAATCCTTTTTGAGAACAGAAATGAGATGAGAACTATATTTATATATTGGTATATCATTCCAACGACTATCCCGATCTGAATTTACAGTTACTTTGTCGATTATATCCGTTCTTATTATTGTGTCATTTTCCTTTGTTTAAAATAAATAACAGCTGAACCATCAACACCTGCCATCGTCTCCGTTGAAGTCGTAAGGAGAACCAGTCAGGAAATTGAACTAGAAGACCATGGCGTATCAATGTTGATTCCTCCGGAGGCTGTTCATCAGAGTGACCCGTGCAAGATCACTTTAACCCTCTTACAAGACCCTCCAAGTGTCGACATCCAAGATGATGAATCAGTGGTCTGCTACGGGATCAGATGTGATCCTCCAAACATGATCTTCCACCAACCTGTTAAGATCAGGATCCCACACTATTCCTTGGTCATGAACCCTGATCAAGGGAAACCAAACATCGTTTCCCGTGTATTGTATCCAGGCACGGGTGAGTCTATTTGGTTAGATTAAGAAAATTACCTGCATTTGATACTAGTATATGAAGGGAGAGTTGGTGCTGTTTGATATGGCTCCTTAAATTCAAAACCATTCGAAATAATTACTCTTGACAAGATCACCCACTATGGATATAAATATTATTTTGATGTCAGTATACATCTAAGATTTCACTGTTCAAATGACAAATCGGCCCCGTGGTGTTGTGAACAAAAAACGCATTTTGTTTTGTTATCCACTTACACCAGATGTAACAATAACATCAAGAAAAAGATCATCCAGCTCACCAAACGAACCACCATACTGCAGAGTGTACAAGAGACATCTTGAGCTGTACATTGGAAAATGTGCTGAGTGGTGGGTTCTTATTCCTCTCGAACAACAGGTGATCCAACACCAACTTAAATGCACTCCATACATCCCAGACAAGATAGAGAGAGGACAAGAGTTTGAAGTTCACCTGCATATGCATGCGGACCTTCCTGGGATGGAAACGGTCAGTAAAAAACACCTGATTATTGGCAATTAATTGAGGGAATGTATTACTTACAACTACTGGACCAGCTCCTACTGGCCTGTTCAGGCAGTCTGACTTCTGTTTTAAGGGAAGCCCATTTTATTGCTACGTGATTAATCAAAGTCTTCATGAAACTGTAAAGGAATTGTAGTCAATATGTACTCGTTTTAAATGATATAATTAAAACTGCAATGCTATCATATCTCGTCCCGTATTAAGCATTTGCCCCGAATGAATTATACAATTGTCTGTGTCTTTTAACATCTACACAGAGCCCTTCATTTAGAAATTCATTCATGTTCATGGTTACAGAGGGTCAAATACGTTCTGTATAACTCCCAATGTATGACTATAGGTAAGACTTCAGAGAATTCACTACCAACTTTCCTTGTCAATTTCAATTTTTCTTTGATAGAGTGAATGAGAAACAAAGAAACAAATTATTAATGACAGTTTTACCCAACCATAGCATCAAGACAGGAGTATGGACTTTTAAAAAACCGTGATTTCTCACTGCCCGGAAATATTTAGAACCACTTCATTCTAAGGGTGATAAACTAGTTATTAGTTTTCTGTTGAGGTTCAAAACATTTCTTCACCGAAAGGAAATGCTTTTTTTCTCATTAATGTGTATTGACGGTTCTAAGTCTCTTCCTATGAAATAGGATATACGGAAGGAGAAGAAGCAGCAGTCGTACCACAAGAGCCACCGCTCCGTTCCCTTCAGTGTTGAGTCTAAGTCTGGTGACGTCGCAGTGACGTGTCATCGAGAGGGCAAACAAGTTGAAAGCAAGGTAATCAAAACTCAAAAGGATTTGTATGACGTGTCAATAATCTGTAGAAAATATATAACTTTTGTGTTTCATAGCAAAGGCTATATTTGATGATCAAGCTATTATTGTTTCCTAAAGAATTACCCAGGTTTAATTAAAAATATCAGAGATAAAATTTTTGAAGGCAAACATGTCAGAGGTAAACCTGTATGAAGGTCTATCATTCTTACATCTGTCATTCTGAAATTCTGCATCTACCTCACCTTTTACCTTTGGCATTTTTACCACGGGAATGTTTACCTCTGACACTTTTACCTCTATCATCTTCTGGTATTCTCACGTTTTACCGTTCTTACTTTGACGTTTTTCCCTTAACATTTTGTATGTGATATTTTTACCGGGCAATGTTACTTAAACATTCTCTTTCAATGTTTTATGAAGTTATCCGACACGAACATCATCCTATTGATGCCTTATGTTTGATGGAGATGCAGTTCACACCAAGGAGGAAGAGAGGGGCATTTACCATCAATCATATGAACTAAGTGTTTACCATACCCACTCCTCTTAATTGGTGCATTTGGTACTATTGAGGAATGTATCCGTGGTAAACACAATCGCATCTTTAACAAAAATCAGTATATTTTAATACCCTCGTATAACACTTATTGAACTATCTGATTGTAAAATTATGACAATTACGTAGTTGAACATTATTTCTAGGGGAAATACATTAGGGTACTAAAATCGCCCTTGAGCTGATTTATCGAAAACAAGTTGTGATCGTGATGATAACAGGAAATGCTATGAATAAATTTACACATCTCGACTTTGTCGTATTTTTCCTTGTAATGACATTGTTTTAAATTTAGTATTGTTATTTTTTTCTTTATTTCAATATCACAGGTTCTCTCTTTGAAGGATGTTTGTGGCAAGATGAGACACAACCTATTGTTGTCCGTGACTTCTACTGATGAAGAATTCACAGGGATAACCATTACAATTACACAGGCTGGAAGGCTAGGGATGTCTCGATCAATTGCTTTTATCATCAGACACACGGGTATAGTTAATCTCTCTTCATCAAATTATCAGTTAGTTCGTGGTTAGTAACTCAAGAGTATGATCAAAGAAAGAACGTGAAAGACTTGAATAAATCTCTCGAGAAATGATTCTAGCGCTTTTGAGATAATTGCATCCGAATGCAATGTTTTTCAATAAACAATGAATAATAACTAAGATTATCCTAAAAATTTAGCCAAAATGCAGTTCGGAATGTTTTTTTCATATCTTCTTGGTATGATTTTTTTTACATTTCGTCATGAAATAAGAAATGGGGGCATTTGTTCATTTGTTTTTTTTGGTCATATATGTTCAATTTCACATGACTCATTATACATATACTTCATCTGTAAGTCTAATAATTAGACACAGGGTTTAGCAAACTGTTCAAAAACTAGAGACCATAAGCAGAGGAAGTTGTCTAATTTTAGTAATGATTATAACCAAGAAAAAGATCAAGTCATTCTTGTATTTTCTCTTTAATTTTCCTTTTCTTCAAAAAATTGTAGATGGACAGGAACACCTAGCTCCTTCTGAGCCCCTTTCATTTGTTGGGTAAGCTAAAATCATACATCATAGATGATAATACTGTTTTGTTTGGACAAAACTACATGTATAACAGCTTTATTGGAATGGAAGTTATACTCTTTAAGAATAATTGTTGTGGAATAATTCCAAACAATACTTCTGTTTTTGTCTTTCATTTTAGGACTTGAAGAAAATAATTAGAAATTCAAGTACTTTTCGCACCTCATTATTTCTACGTTGCAGAAGTTGAAAAGAAACGTATTCGATGACATTTATTTGATGCATGTCAATATCATTTTGGTAATGTACCATAAGTTGAAACAATACATCTTTTCACAGCACAAATTGTATAGAAATGACTTATATGCACTTTATTACATCTGCACTGATTAATTTCAGATTACCTTCTCTAGAGGAGATCCAGTCTTATCGAGGTAAGAACGTCCTTCAAACACATTTCTCAGTGTAAATGCTAAACTAGGGGGTCTATTTTGTTTTCTTATCCATATCGTCACATATTAAAGTCTAGCGATAATTTTTTTTTTCCATTCCAAAGAAGAATGAATTAAATAATTCATTGTCTGGGCCATTTACTTAATTGGACACACAAACTTCACTCAGGTACTCCCTAAAAACTGCATTCGTATTCATATATAAAAAACTAAGAGGAAAGTTTCCATCAAGTACCCAAATACGAGCCATGAACGTTGGATGAGCCCCTAATTTAAGAAAGCATATATAAATAAACAAATGGATATAAATAAAGATGCAATATCGATAATATATTACAGATTTACCATATACCCTATTTCAACTATTACTCCCAGGAGGGAACGTCAGTGTTTGGGTAATTTACTCAACTTGTCAGCTGTAATAGAGTGAATCATTTTTGTGAACAGAAATGAGATGAGAACTATATTTATATATTGGTATATCATTCCAACGACTATCCCGATCTGAATTTACAGTTGCTTTGTCGATTATATCTGTTCTTATTATTGTGTCATTTTCCTTTGTTTAAAATAAATAACAGCTGAACCATCAACACCTGCCATCGTCTCTGTTGAAGTCGAAAGGAATACCAGTCAGGAAATTGAACTAGAAGACCATGGCGTATCAATGTTGATTCCTCCGGAGGCTATTCACCAGAGTGACCGGTGCAAGATTACTTTAACACTCTTACAAGACACTCCTAGTGTTGACATCAAAGATGATGAATCAGTGGCCTGCTACGGGATCAGATGTGGTCCTCCAAACATGATCTTCCACCAACCTGTTAAGATCAGGATACCACACTATGCCTTGGTCGTGAACCCTGATCAAGTGAAACCAAACATCGTTTCCCGTGTATTGTATCCAGGCACGGGTGAGTCTATTTGGTTAGATTAAGAAAATTACGTATATCTAATACTGAGATAAATGCAAATTGATGCAACGAGATCCATTTTTAGCATTTGTAAGACAGAGCAAGCACCACGAGCGCCCATCTGAGGCGGACACCGACGTTATAGAAAGAGTCACCATCATCATCATGTTAAACCAATTGAAAATTAAGAAAAATATATATATATTCTTTTTCCTCTTCGCTAGTACTACATGCCACCATCGGGTGTGTTCTCGGAGACAATTGTGATCCCGGAGTTAATAGTTGAAGCATGTATCGTCCTCACCACAGTCCCAAAACGCTGTGAGGAACAATTTGCAACTAAAAAATCTTTGGAAACTTTCAGTAAAGGGGAAGTGATGAAGGGGGAGTTGGTGCTGTTTGATATGGCTCCTTAAATTCAAAATCATTCAAAATAATTATTCTTGACAAGAATACCCACTATTTTGATGTTAGTATACATCTAAGGTTTCACTGTTAAACGGACAAATCGACCTTTGGCGTTGTCAACAACAAAAGCATTTTTGTTTTGTTATCCACTTACACCAGATGTAACAATAACATCAAGAAACAGATCATCCAGCTCATCAACGGAACCACCATACTGCAAAGTGTACGAGAGACATCTTGAGCTGTACATTGGAAAATGTGCTGAGTGGTGGGTTCTTATTCCTCTCGAACAACAGGTTATCCAACACCAACTTATATGTACTCCATACATTCCAGACAAGATAGAGGGACGACAAGAGTTTGAAGTTCACCTGCAGATGCATGCGGACCTTCCTGGGATGGAAACGGTCAGTAAAAAGCACCTGATTATTGGCATTAATTGTTGGAATGTATTACTTACAACTACTCCGCGATGTTTCACCAGTTCCTAATGGCTTCTTCAGGCAGTCTGATTTCTGCTTTAGGGGAAGGCCGTCTTATTGATACGTGTTGAATCAAAGTCTTCATGAAACTGTAAAGGAATTGTGGTCAATGTTTACTCGTTTAAAATTATATAATTAAAACTGCAATGCTATCATATCTCGTCCCGTATTAAAGGTGAAATTCAAAGAAAATCACAAATATGTCAACTAAAGTATCACTAGAAACTGGTAAGCTAACAGATGGCCATCGTACAAGTTTTAGGTCAACTTCATATCGGGTGATTTGTAAAAATACAAATACAACCACCTCCATAGCAGCTGGGATATACGCGAGATTCGCCGGAAAAATAACGATGTTTTAATGACGTCAATATATGGACCAATACTGCCCAAGCAGACGACATCCCATAAAGAATGAACATAATTGCAAAGCTATTATTTCTCAAATTGTAATGAGTTAAGTGTATATAAATATAATGGCATGTCAAACCATTCAAAAGGGGATATGACCCGATTCTTATAACTAAAATCTTTTGCTTGTAAATACACAGGATAGGGGTTAATTAACAATCAAAGAAACCAGACTTTCAAATTGAAAACCCCTCGGAATGATATTAAGGACGGCATTTGTTCCCTCTTGAAACGCCGAACATACCGCGGTGTGTGCACTTGAAAATACAATGGCGTCTTATTTTGTTTACAAGCGACAGATTCCTTTAATTTTGTATCACTGCATTTGTCATTAAAATAAAACCATGCGCGGGTTTAGAGTGAGGCAATATATTATACATTTAGCCTGACGGTAGTGAAGTAAGAGAAAGAACTCAAGAAAAGATGAAAATACAGGCACTGAAAATGTGTGAGATGTCATGGGACATCGTCTGCTTGTGCAAATCATGTCCATACTGTGATCTCACACATCTCAGCAGCGTTCGGAGAGCTCTTCAGGTGTTATGCCGGGGCCGTATTTAAGCGTTTTGTAATTTATGATAATCATTACTTCGATTGTTTCCAGGCATTGAATTTTGGTAACCTTGTCAAATCAAAGTTTCAACTTTGCAATAATGAAAATAAAGTTAGTTTTTAAAATCAATGAATATCTACTGTATTAAGCAAATTTGCCCCCAATGAATGATACAATTGTCTGTGTCTTTTAACATCTACACAGAGCCCTTCATGTAGAAATTTATTCATGTTCATGGTTACAGAGGGTCAAATACGTTTTGTATAACTCCCATTGTATGACTTTAGGTAAGACTTTAGGGAATTCGCTACCAGCTTTCATTGTCAATTTCAATTTGTCTTTGATAGAGTGAATGAGAAACAAAGAAACACATTATAAATGAAGAAAGTTCTACCCAACCACAGCATCAATACAGGAGTATGGACTTTTAAAAAACCGTGATTTCTCACTGCCAAGAAATATTTAAAACCACTTCATTCTAAGAGTAATAAACTAGTTGAGGTTCAAAACATTTTCTTCACCGAGAGGAAATGCTTTTTTTTCTCATTAATGTGTATTGACGGTACTAAGTCTCTTCCTGTTAAATAGGATATACAAAAGGAGAAGAAACAGCAGTCGTACCACAAGAGCCACCGCTCCGTTCCCTTCAGTGTTGAGTCTGAGTCTGGTGACGTCACAGTGACGTGTCATCAAGAGGGCAAACAAGTTGAAAGCAAGGTAATACAAAATCAAAAGGATTTGTATGACGTGTCAATAATCTGTAGCAAGTACATAACTTTTGTGTTTTCATAGCAAAGGCTATATTTAATGATCAAGCTTATATTGTTTCCTTAAATTTTACCCAGGTTTAATTAAAAATATCAGAGATAAAAATGTTGGAGGTAAACATTATTGAGGGTCTATCATTCTTACATCTGGCATTCTAAGATTCTGCATCTACCTCACCTTTTACCTTTGGCGTTATTACCACGGGAATGTTTACCTCTGACATTACTCTATCATCCTCTGGTATTCTCACGTTTTACCGTTCTTACCTTTGACATATTTCTTTTTAAAATTTGTATGTGACATTTCTAACGAGCAATGTTAATAAACATTCCCTTTCAATGTTTGATGAAGTTATCCGACAAGAAAATCATCTTATTGATGCCTTAGGTTCGAAGGCGATGCAGTTCACACCAAGGAGGACGAGAGGGGCGTTTACTCTCAATCATATGAATTAAGTGCTACTATACGCACTCCCCTAATTGGTACTCTTGGGGAATGTATCCATGGTAAACACAATCGCATCTTAAAAAAAAAAAATCAGTATATTTTAATACCCTCGTATAACACTTATTGAACTATCTGATTGTAAAATTATCACAATGACGTAGTTGAACATTATTTCTAGGGGAAATACATTAGGGTATTAAAATCACCCTTGAGCTGATTTATCGAAATAAAAGTTGTGATCTTGATTGTAACAGGAAATGCTATGAATAAATTTAAACATCTCGACATTGTCTTATTTTTCCTTTTAATGACATTGTTTTAAATTTAGTATTGTTAGTTGTTTCTTTATTTCAATATCACAGGTTCTCTCTTTGGAGGATGTCTGTGGCAAGATGGGACACAACCTATTGTTTTCCGTGACTCCTACTGATGAAGAATTCACAAGGATAACCATTACAATTACACAAGCTCGAAGACTAGGGGTGTCTCGATCAACTGCTTTTATCATCAGACACACGGGTATAGTTAATCTCTCTTCATCAAATTATCAGTTAGTTCGTGGTTAGTAACTCAAGAGTATGATCAAAGAAAGAACGTGAATAAACAATGCATAATAACTAAGATTTTCCAGAAATTTAGCCAAAATGAAGTTTGGAATGTTTTATTTTCATTTCTTCTTGGCATGATTTTTTTTACATTTCGTCATGAAATACGAAATGGGGGCAGTTGTTCATTCGCTGTTTTGTATATGTTCAATTTCACATGACTCATTGTACATATACTTCTTCTGTAAATTCAATCATTAGACACAGGGTTCAGCAAACTGTTTGAAAACTGGAGACCATAAGCAGAGGAAGTTGTATGATATTAGTAATGATAATAATAAAAAAAAGCTCAAGTCATTCTTGTATTTTCTCTTTAATTTTCCCTTTCTTTAAAAAATTGTAGATGGACAGGAATACCTTTCTCCCTCTGAGCCCCTTTCATTTGTTGGGTAAGCTTAAAATCATACATCATAGATGATAATGCTGTTTCGTTTGGACCAAAATACATGTATATCAGCTTTATTGGAATGGAAGTTAATACTCTTTAAGAATAATCGTTGTGGAATAATTCCAAACAATACTTCTGTTTTTGTTTTTCATTTTAGGACTTGAAGAAAATAATTATAAATTCAAGTACTTTTCGTATCTCATTATTTCTACGTTGCAGAAGGTGATCAGAAACGTATTAGATGACATTTATCTGTTTCAATGCTCTGTTTCGTCAAAGATATTGATAGGGCCGATGAGGCAATAGGAATTGAATTTGCGTTTATAAATTGAAATGAATGGAACATTTGGTCCTAAGTTGAAGTTAGGCATTTGTGTAGTAAATAGATAACACGGCTGTTTTATTTGAACAAAGCTACATGTATATCGTTTGTAGGAATGAAACTGTATCCTCTTTAAGAATTGTGAATACATTAAACTAATTCCTCTGTTTTTTTTTTCTTTTCAAGACTTGACCAAAATAATTATGGATTCGAATAGATCACGTGAAACAACACCAAATTTGTTTACCCACCATATTATTTTTTACTTTGCAAAGGCGATCAGAAATGGATTCAGTTTTCTCCGTTTCTATTCCGTCAAAGATATTCATAGGGCCGATGAAGCAATCGAACTTTTGGTTAATTGTATAAATCAGAATGGATGTAACATTTGGTCTTGAGCTGAAGTTCCTGTATTAAATGCTATACCGGTACATATACACCATGAAGCCATTGCCTTCGGAACATTTGTTGTGTAATCATTCTTGGGTCTATGATGTATATGGACAAATATAAAGAAATGTCCTGCAATAAGTCATTAGCGTCAGGTTGTTGTTCATACATTTATAACCATCGTTTTAAAATAGTTTCACCGAGGCAAATTTACCAGAAAACCCTCACTTTGTCTTGCAGGGCTGTGGAAGAAGTCTTGAAAAGTGACCTGCCGGACATTGATGTCCTTACAATAGCCCAAACAATGACAGTAGACCAGTTCTATGATTTGGGAGTAGCTCTTGGTTTCACCATACAACAACTGGATGTCATAGAATACAGGAGGTTCCGTGACAGAGAGCAGGCCATCTATGACATGTTGGTGACATGGAGAGAGAGACAACCGTCCGGCCAAGCAGCAAAGGAAACGTTCCTCTCACTCATGGAATCTTTAGATTCACCAGCAGAAGGAATCGCCATATCAGGTCTGACTTTTGAAAAAAAGTGTCGGTTTGTATTTCTCGTTGATGTCCATTTAAAATGAAGAAAATTACTCCCCTATACTACACTAGAATTTTTTTAATTAGAATTAAGATTAATTCACTCTTTTTTAAATCGAACCTTCATTGAACTGACATTATTGTAAAACAGTGTGCTTCAACCTTCCTGCTAACCAAGGGACGAGTACACAATAGTACTTTCCGTTGTTTTTTAAACAACGTAGTTTCATAGGGTTTTATAATCAGGATAATTTTTGATAATAAATATGGTTTCATGGCAAATTGACACCCATTTCAAATTGTATTTCACTATTGTATGTTGCTAGAAGTTAGGGTTGAGGATAGAATTAAGAGTAAGTTTCAGTAAATCTATTTCGAGACGCTTATGGCGCATAACAGTCTATAAATATGTTAGAGCTTTAGATAACTGTTAATAGTGCGTTGAACTAAGGGCTGAAATGTAGTGAACATTATTTTATTTGAGTTATTTCGAGATGTTATACAGTCATACCTGCTTTAGTGACCACCTGTCTACAAAGACCTCTTTTTGTGTTTCCAGTGGGCGTTCGCTGTAGGCAGGTTTGACAGTAATACGCAATACATGTCATTTTATTCTACAACAGAGAAAAGATAGAAGAAATAGTGGGTGGGATACTGAAAATACTACTTATCTAGTATTCGCACATCGTACATGTAGAAGGGAGTGTGAGAGATGTACATGACTTAATTAGCTTGGCGTATATAAACAAGGCTAACATCTAGTTTGATTTAATTTTTTTAAATAAATTGTTTATTCTTACAATGTTATTCTTTATTTGTTTTCATGTTTATATCTTTATGTTCTACTTTTGCATCACCTACGTGCATCAGACATTGGACTCACTGGGTAAGATTTTAATTTATGTCAACTATGGTGTTTATAGAATCGATATTGTACGTGGGTTGTATTTATTACCGCCAATGAAAATAAACTGGCTGCAGTGTTATCAATACAGTTTTTACACAAACGCCTGATTATTACAATTGGGAAACTAGACATTGAATTCGTAACAGAGACGAATTAGGTGATCTGCTGCTTTAATGGAGACCTAACACATGTAGAAACTCAAAGGAAGATTTGGTCTTTAACAAAATTCCACCCTCCACTCATATAGCATGCCTATGTACAAGCTCAATTAGTAATCAAGGATGTAGAAACAGTAGAAATAATTGTCATGACTATTGTTTAGTATAACCATGTAACCATTAAATTAATGACAGGAGTAGGCGAACTAGCAGCAAAATAACATGCCGTTCATGAAGTTAAATTTCTGATTATTTATTATACATATATGTTGGATCGTAAAGAGCAGCAAGAAAAGCAATGTTGACGGTCGAGAGTCGATGTTCCCGTATTTTGATCAAAAACGTACAATAGAAGGTCTGAAACATTTAAACTATCCATGACGAAAACATGACACAAACTCAATAGGAGATAGCACGTACAAGTAGAAACCATAATGGCAGATTTTGCAGTCTTCATCTTAAATCAGAATTTTTACTACGCTCCCGTCTTCTTAAAAAAATAAATAATCACAGAACATTTGTAGAGTAAATTCTAAGCTACAACATAGTAAAATATGGGAAACATTAGAGAAGGGATAGACGGGATATATTCAAAACAACAACGGCAAATATTACCTAATCAAATCATATTCAATCTTTTTTTTTTAATTGGCACTATGTTAACATCAAAGCATTCTAACAGCAAACGTGATACATGAAATCGCATCTACAATTCATACCCTATCAGAACATAAAAAAATAAAAAAAGGGAGGGGGGGGGGGGGGTAACCAGCCATTCTGAAGAGTTATAGAAATTAAAAATAGGTACTTTTTTAACCACTTTTGGAAATTTCTGCAAAAGCGTGCATGCGTCAATTTTGAGGTTGAATTAATGTTTATGAGCTAAATTTAGTTCAATAAAAGCAAAACGTGACTTAAACATTGCTAAGAATAGTATCAGCAACACAAAACAAGTGAAAAACTTGAATTAATACCATCAGTACGGACGGCACGCACAAGAGCGTCTGAACTTGCAGTAAATTAGTCCAATAAGCATCTTGACCAATTTTTGATTTTGAAGCACGCGTACGCATTCGCCGTGACGCTTGAACGTACATGGTTGTGACCAAAAGTGTACGCATGAAATCAAGTTTATGCATATCACATATCATTCAGAAATGACAATGTATGAATGAAATATGGTCAATATTGAAATGGAAATTAACAAAAGAGAACAAGATTTACACACGCGCACGCCCACATACCAGTACCTTGAAACTCTCAATATATAAATATCTCGGTGAGTTGATGCATTACTTTGAAGAAGCGATGAAACTATACGTGAGGGTTTCTTGACTTATGACTTTATCCAATGATACAGAGAAATTCCTGACAGGACACTGCTCGCGTTCGCCCGTCAGATCAGACCGGAAAAGTTCTTTGAGATTGGCGAGAAGCTGGGATTCAACACGTCAGAGTTACAACACATTGAACATCGGATACTATACAACAGGAAAAATGCTAACATCCAAATGCTCTCAAGTTGGAAAGCATCTCAGACTTCAGGGCCCGAAGCAAAGCAGACACTGAAGCTGGTTTGGGAGTCTGTGCAGGACGTTTCGAAAGCAGAGAAAACCAAGGGTATCATAAATCATGCAATGACAGTCTTCTACTGCTCTCAAGTACAACATAAGAAGGAATCATTCAATTTTATCATTTTGGAATAGTTGTGGAATAATTTATTGGCCTAGTGAATGTATACGACAATATTTAGTAAAATCACAATCTTGTATTCTACAGTTATATATTGATAGTATTCCCCTTTGTAATTAGCTTAATTTAAATTCAATATATATACACGTTAAAAAATAGCGATTGGTAGCTTAAATGATTATAGAGTAGCTACTATGTGAAATAAACATTAAAATGTATTTAAACCATGACTACTGGATCCAAGGATCCAACACCATTAAAATAAATTTAAAATTGCATTTTTAAATGTGAAATACTGTGCGGTGCGTGTGGGGTGGGGGTATCATGCAATATTTCATCCATTGTTACATGTATTGTATCGGCTTCTTATTTGATGAGGATATAAATTGATGTCGGTATTATTAATGGGATCATTCACATTAATTATAATCTGTCAGTACCACGTGTCAATACTACTTTATTAATATTTCATTATATTTCAGATAGTGGAAAGGGCATTGCTCTCTTGAATACGAAAACTGCTGGCACATCTCAAGCATTAGCTGAGGAATTATATCAGTAAGGTTAAGTGTTCATGAGTCTCGCAATCTAATTTCATGTGCTGATGCTTGTATTACAGCGGCATTTCTTTTCCCGCTCACCTTCGTAAAATCAGTATGCAAATTAACATTCAGTTAACTCAGTATTGTGCGAAATTGAATGTTTGCTTTGATCATAATTCCCATTCCCAAAGTGATATTTTAACTTCTGGTTTAATTTTAGGGTCATGGGTCATTTCATTTTGAAGTGTATGATAATATTTCAATTCCGAAACACGCGCCAAGAGCATCCGATTTTGTGCCTGTCAGTATGCAGCAGACATTCATCAATCTCGTTATAGTTAATGGGCATGCAATGTTGACACTTGTGCAATACATTTCATCAATGTTAAAACGTAATCAAGTTATGTCTTTAAGCATGTATTTAAAATTCTTTGCAAAATTTTGCACACGAAAATAAAAATGAATGCAATGAAAGAATAGATCCTGTAGGAAAAGAAGATAAAAAGCCATACGTACAAAGACGAAAAATGAGCGCCATATTTGATAAGAAATAGAGAAGGCTGCAAATTATGTTCTACATTGAATGTTCAAAATGTGGCAGCCATTGGCGCAAACGAAATTGGAATACGGCGGGAAAACCCATATTCCAGTCAAGATCGCCAACAGGTAATTTGACAAAAATGAAAACTGTTTGAATGAATATGATATTTACAGTGTACTACTACTCGCTATTGAATACATACATTTCTTAAAAATGTGGTGTAGCTCACTATACTCTCCTGCGAATTATAGATAGGGACAATTATCTTTAATTTTTAATTTTGCTTCCGACTGCTATGACAAGAAAAATTCGAAAGATTTCATTTAGAAGGTGTTGTGGTATAGTGGTTCAAGTTGTTAGCTCTCGATTATTGGGTTGTTGATATGAATCCCACCCATGCGAAATCATTACAGTTTGCTCAGCATTGTGAGCGGATGTGAGTATCAATACACAGGCGGCAAAGCAGGTTTTTTTTTAGACATGAAATATTATAAAGGGTGTTGGGTATCAACATGTCCAGAGCACCTCACTAGTTCTACGTGGACTACCTTGGATATAAATAAATGTATATACAAAATGGCCGCCGTGTATAACTAATGTTGAACGATTACTCAATAGTGTCTGACAGTGAAGTCTAGAAAGTCAAAGGGTTTCCTTGCATGATTTGAATACTGGGACACTGCTAACGCTTAAATTTCTCCGATAGGACAGATTGGGTGTCCTCTAAATGAAAGATAATTCACTAAACGTTAATAGGTACAATGTACATGAACTTCAACGCAGTTCAATGTACAGATGATAACTAAATTAGTTTTGTCATCATTATGTGAAAAATTGATCTGTCTCGATGTATGTTTCATGACAATATGACACAATAATGCTTACATCTAAAAGTATTCAACACATGCCCTAATTTAACCAGTCCACTTTTCATTCTTAAGTAACAAAAAACTTACAAATTTTTAAGGGTTTTATAATAACCTAGTGGTTAACTGTTGATTTTTTAATTTTTTTTTTTTTTTTTTTTTTCAACAGAGGAACTGCGGAGACCGAGAAGAACGATTATGACAATCTTCCGGAAAAGGCGCAAACTGATGGAACAGACAGTGTAGAGCCAATAGACTACGCCTTAGGTGAGATACGTTTTATGCATCTGAGGCAGGTGAATATTTTTACGCAAGAACACATAGGTATATTTACCTACAAATTAAGAATCTTTATTTTAATACAGATCTGTGTAGTCAGCAGTGATTATGTCGATCAAGATTATTAACAAAATATATATATCTTATAAATGATATGGGGTTTTCTTTATTGTGTGGTTTGTGTCAAATATCTCGAGTCCTAAATATTACCTTTTCTCATTTCCCAAAAGCAGGACTAGATTTCCCCAAAGCAGCGCATGCGCAAGGGCCCTCAGGAGGACAGACCATGACACATGAGCCTACATCAACCACTAACCAACCTCTTCTAGATGACAAGTCCTCCGAGAACCAAGGTAATGTGGCCGGTGGAGGTAAAACAACTGTCGGCCTATTCAAATATGATATGCGTTGTCATTCAATAAAATCGGTTTTGATAGAGAACTCCCAAACAAGAACGTACACATGACACTGTATCGTAAAAATGCATTGTTATATGGTGAGAGTATGATTGCTTTTAAAATTTGGTGGAAGATGAATATGAAAAGAGGACAGACAAAATGTTGTTCACTTGATTTGTCACCTGACCTTAACTGAGACATCGACAGATAACATTCTTCGCCTTTACTTAATTAAGGTTATACACGATTTCGCCGTCAAGAAATTTACTGAATACTTAATTGAGCCCTGGACACAAAGGAATCGGAAAGAGAGCTAAGCGGAAGAATAACTCAAAACATTATGACCTGCATACAAGTATTTTGTAAACCTGCAACAGCCGCTTTGAGGTAAAGAAGTTTGTTTTGCCAGGTCCATAATTTTATTATTTTTATTCCTTCATTGCTACCAAAAGTTGTATTTCATATACAAATACCACGACGAACAGATACATAGCACTGGTAACAATAATGTACACAATGAAACTGTATATCATGATACATTAGTGATATGAATAACAATGTTAACTCTTTATACAATATTGTTTAATGATTGTGGCGCACTTATGCACTCACCGCACCTTCATTTGTTTAAGTGTGCGCATATGGGTGTCCTCGGTCTGAGGATGAAGATTGAAGTAATGAGTAGGATTATGGTGACGATGATGATTATAATGGCAGTGATGCTGATACCTCAGTCACACCGACGAGACTGACACCAGACTGATGACAAACCGAACAAACGATGACATTACACACAATGGCTAAAAATAGTTCAGTTTGGAGTCGGTCTTTTGAAAGGTCTGCCGGTGTGACCGATGTATGATGGTGGTAGTGATGATGATGTTGACGGTGTTGATGATGATGGTGTTGGTGGTGGTGAAGATGATGATAATGATGATGGTGGCAGTGATTGATGATGGTGACGATTTTGGTGATGATGGTTATGGTGATCATTGTATAACTCTTGAAAACATGCTATTCAAGTAAATTATATAATATTTTACAGTTGAGAAAATTAACAATCTTTTAGTACTCTACCAACCTTTATTTTTCAGATGGGAAGAAAATCCACTGGGATTTTTTGACAGATAGTCCTCAAGAACTTACGCTTCAAGATAATGAAGTATTAATATCATGCGGCATCAGATTCTCACCTTCTGGAGTCAAGCTCAGCGAAACTATCAAGGTCACGTTGGACCATAATGCACATTTCACCAATCCAAGACGTGCAGAGATCGTCTTCTACACCCGCAACAAAGGTATGGGGCAATTACCTCGGGGACCTCACAAAAGTTTCTGCGACAATAATTGTTCCGAGCTTTATTTCTTCAAAGTTATAGGCATTCGGTTATGGTAGCAATTGAGTTCCAGGTTAGGTTTAAGATTGGGGATATGGTTAGGGTTAGGTGTTGTGTTAATTCCATGGTTAAAGTTAAGGATTGGTGTATTGGAGGAGATTGAAGCGGAGCAATAGTCGCAGGAGCAAGTTCATATCCAATTTACTGCAGCTCAAATGCATTTTTCATCTAACAAACAAACAATTTTGACATAGAAATATAACACGGAATATAAGTAAAATTATTGTTACATTTCAAAATAGGACAAATTCGTGTCACCTTAAGTTTCCTTTTATTATTTGATGTTTTTTTAATTCAGTAAACTTAGTTTTAACTTATTTATGGACCAGAAGATGATTTTATGGAAACATGGGGCATATGCCCCTATCCTCGCCCCTCTCCCTCCAAATAAATAAATAAATAATAATAATAGGGGGAAAAGGAAGAAGAAAAGTAATTGGCTGATGACTCTTGATCTACTTCATAGTGAAAGTTGATGCATGCATATCTATATGCTGTCTCTCAATAATGTGTTGTATTATTAAGAATCACCAATAACATAGCATTTGTCAAAAATAATCCAATGACAAGTTTCTTGTAGACCTAATATTTATGATATAATCTCGTTGTTATAGACTCAACAACTTTTCTGAGAATTCCCGCATCCACCAATGGTTGTCCACGTTGTGACGTCAGATCAAAGGACTTGGATTTCTACGTAGATCATTTTAGTGATTGGTGGATTGTGGCCGTATTCACTCGATACTTCATTGGAAAGAGGGTCCGGTGCACGCCATATATACGACCACCTGTCATGAAAGGGTTCACGCACTTAGTGCTACTCTGCATATATGACGATCTCGTGGATGTTATTGAGGTGAGACAGAGATAAGGGCGTTTGGCCGTTGAAAATAGTTTTAAATGGGGGGAGGGGGGTGATGGGTTGTGTGTCGGAGCAAATATTCTAGCAAGTGAGTCGAAAATATAACAACATGCAATTAAAGAGGGTCCCCAGATTTTCGCATTTGATGCCAGGTATTCTTCACTATTTTGTAAACAGGCATAAAGATAAATTAATTAGAGAACGAGAAAAAAAGTTATCATCCCCCATAAGTTATCTGAAAAGAAAGAAAAGAAAGTTAACACATTTCTGGCTATTTCATGATTCATGACGTCTAAATTAGTTGCTGTGCGGGGGGAGGGGATAGGGACACATTTGCTCTTTTTTAATTTAAAGAAACAATGTCCCTTTTACAGCCAACAACAAATTCTGTAGAACTTTGTAGGAATTGTGAATATGTCATGTATGTCATGTCTGTGAAATTTAAACGTTAGCAGTGTCCTAATATTCAAATTATGCAAGGAAACCCGTTTACTTGCTAGACTTCTTTTTCAGACACTATTGAGTGACTGACTGGCTTTTTTCTTCTTTGGTAATAACATAAATAAAATGATCTGTAAAGGGTACATGAGCATTTGTCTACATCAATAACCCACTTCTTGTAATGGCCAAAATTAAACTGAACGAATCTTTGTGCAGCATAAATCGTACGACCATTCGTTACAATGGTCTGAAAGTCAGACTATTACTTACTGGCGCTATAGCTCTTAAGTCGATTGGATAACAAATAGTCGTTATTTTCCCACTTAAAGACATTTTCAAGCCCCCTCTTTTTAGGGAAGTTCTAAATTAGTTTTATCTTTTAAATGCCGTTGGAATTTAATCTTTTCATATTTTGGGACTGCTAATGGGACATCTATAGTACCTTTAATATCTAATTAATATCCTAGAATTGTAAAAAGAAAATATATATTTGTTTATAACTATTCATATGTAGCTTTCTCTCTTTCTTTATGTATACATACATAATATATACAAAGAAAGACATTGAGGGGGTTGTCTTCTTTACCATCCATTATGTTTTGCTCCAACAGAAAATAAACGAAGAAATGAAGGAGTACAGAAAGCTCTATCCACCCCAGCCAATGTTCGTAGAATGGAGGTATGGTGATATCAATATCGAGTTGTTCGATGGCTCAAAGGAAAATAAGGAGAACATTGACAAACAGGTATATTCTGTGTTTCAAAGCTAGGGGTATATCGATGATTTAAAAAAATAAACCATTTTTTAATGCAATGAAATTTAATGCAGAAGCTTAATGTTTGTCTCATCTAGCAACAGTTGAAGTACGCTATTCGCATTCGGACTACTCGAATATAATTATTCGTAACAGGCGGATGAAATAATCTATAACGAGGCACTTATCATAGATTCGTGCATCATATTTAATAAATTACGAATATGGTCGATTGTACACACAGAGAAAAAAATGGTGTTCTTGGGGAGTAAAACGACATAGGAAAAATTGGGCGCCGCTTTTACACCTTTTAGGAAGTAAAACACGGAAATACGCAAGGGTGTATATTTGAGGATGTTTTAAATTCAGGTTATGCCTTTTAAGTTGAGAAAATGAGAAAATGAACTCAGATTTACTTGAATTCATTCTTCTTTTAAAATAGATACTAGGTGAAAGGGATATGTACCTCTTTGAAAGTAAACAGTTCTCCTTTGAAGTGAAGCCACTCGTGTCGGGGGCAAGCCAAAGGTTCCTCGAATTCACCTTGGATCAAAGAAAGTCTTCTTCTTACCCTACCCTGATTCGTTTCGACTTGAAATATGATGGTATGTATGATGGATGAGGGACCACAAGCTGCACACTTTGATCTGAAAGTCTAAAAGTCTTCTAATTCCTTGAATTAAAGACAATGTCTTGTGAAACTTGGTTGACTTATGAGAAAAATTACGACTGACAAATGTCAATAAAGTACGTGTTTGATTTGAAGTAACTTTCGATCCCCGGTTAAAATTTGTTTAACAAAATTAAAGAGTTCATAAGATACCCACATGTAATAGCATGAATGCAATTATTAACTTTGCAAATACTATCAAATGTGAATTTTACCTCAATTTGAAACTGTTGACGATCAAAATGTTCAAGAAGGGACATATATATTTTGACAGATAACCTTGTAATGCTTTTAATTAGCTTATTCTAATGGGGTCCTAGGAATAATATATATGTATAAATCTTACTGTTTTGTGGGTCATATATTGAAGAAAAAAATAAGAACAATAACAAAAGAAAGTTCAAAATTATGACAACCAAAACATAATATTTACATACATTTTTCTTTAGCATAAATAATCTTTATGAGGATATAACAAGACAAATTCTGCATTAGCCTGCATAAGGCATATAAAGTATACAACAGTAAATTTCATTGAGATAAAGGGTATTTCAAACACTATCATAACATGAAAATTGCATTTAAAGCTCAAGATGTATGTGTCATGTGTCAAACGGGGTTTAGTCATTCACATATTTCTACAGTAAATCAGGAATTTGGAAGAGAGCGGTACTTCAAATAATAGAAGCGACCCCCGTAGCATCTCTTAAAGAGTATCAATTATTAATACCAGTCTTTTAAGTTGTATGCTAAAATTGCTTTAAGACCAGCCTTTAACTGGTTACACTCTGTTTTCATGACATTGACCGGAATGGACCTGGCTTTTATTTATCCACAAACCCAATTCTCTTTTTTTTTATAACGTGATAACGACACCACCAGCAGGAGCAGCATTCTCTACCATGGATGCAGGATCACAATCAGCAGAGGTGTCAACGCTATCAGGGTACTTAGCCAATAGTTAATACATATTTTTTCAAAGAGCAGGCTGAGTTCTGGTAAAAGTAAAAAGCGCTTTGTGAGCGTTCTCAATCTTTGCATGTCAGTTCGGAAAAATATCATGGTAGAAGTGAGGAGTGAAAGTATTAATATAAATATTGGTAGTAGCAGAAGTTGTACTAGAGTTAGTACCTTAAGTGGTATTGTCATCAACTTTTCTTTTTAGTATCTGAAAGCCTGAAATCTATAAAATCATTCCTAGACAACAATTTGTGGCTAATTTCGGCCCACGCCGCGACTTGCATTTCCTAACATATTTATGAAATTATTTTATATGGTACAATTTCGAAGAGTTAATATTTATTCCTTCTCTGGGGCAGAAAATTTAAAAATATCAGTGACTTCTTGTGTAACCATAATACAATTTTAATTCTTAAATTTCAGTCCATCGGATGAACAGAAAGTGACAGATGCGGATATCCTGAACCTGGCAAAGCTTCTACCACCTGATCGGTGGAGCCATCTTTACGTTGCTCTTCGCATCGATTACAGCACAGCTGAAGGTATCAGAAAGGAGTTTACAGAGAAAACTGAGCAATACATACACCTCCTTCAAAATTGGAAAGCTGCATCATCTCGGACTAGAAAGGATTTAAATGCAATCCTCGTTAAGGTAGAATCAGGAGGACTTGTAGACACGTACGTGGATTAGGTGTAAAACTAGAACGAGAGAGTAAGAGTGAGAGAGAGAGAGAGGAGTGGGGTGGGCGAGGCAGTGTGAAAACGAATATATTGCATCTCTGTCACACACATTCTCCTTAATTACTTGGTGACCCTGTTGTGTTTTATAACACAGATGCCGTCTAACACTATAAAATAAATGGATAGTTGTCAGCTGCAGAAACACATTATTATCCATTATCGTTTGTCACAATGTTGTTAACATTTGATAGTTATGTAAGTTTTGCTTCTATTTCTTTTCCTTCTTTGGGGTTGTTGTGTTTAGGAAGGATGGTGTTTGTTTGAGAAAGCAATTTCGTACTTGCCACTACAGGGTGATTGTGCCATATATATGTTCATACATCTCAATGAATACAGTTCACTAAACATCGAAATATGACTATTCCTCGTTTTGCAGATATTTCCAATGGTCAGTTGAGATAAAAATGTGATGACAGATCTTACATTATTCGTGTAAATTCTACGCTGCCTATAGATTGTAGAGATTTATGTTTCTATTTCTATGACCAGTCCGCATTATGACAACTTCAACATGCAGATGCATACTCTACTATTGATTTTTTGGTGGTCGTTTTCAGTGTCCCCCCCCCCCCCTAATTCAACTGATGTTTGATAAAGTTCTTAAAGCAATGTAAATTCCTTTTATGTGTATACGTTCATTATTTATAGATGCTTGCATCTTCTGCTGATATTGTTAGTTTTATATATGATATTCTGTGTAATATTCCCTGCAGCTTATAACTTAGGATATAACGACTTAGGATATAACGATATAACAAATATGGAGGCTAAAAATCAAAGCGCACTTGTAGGTGTTGTGTAAGCAACCATGTTTGTAAAAATGTATATATTCTTTTTATTTTTACGTTAATTGTTTCGTGTAATACTTATTCTGCATCTCTAAAGTGTTGTTATATTTGGTTTGAGCGAATTTCAAGAATTTAAACATCTACCAGAGGCGGTATTCTAAAAGCTCATTTAACTTGCCTTTAAAGTCTTTAAGTTAATTGGGTGGTACTATACATCTACCGTATTCAGTATTCTAAAAGCTCACTTAAATTACATTTTAAACCCTAAAGTTAGGTGAGCGGTAATATACATCTAAATTGGTATTCTAAAGCTCACTCAGCGCTCATTTTACTCCTGCGTCATTAAAGGATGCCCACTCCATCTTTTTTTAACCCATTTCTGTAACAAAGAAAAGGGATGTATGAAGTTCGCCAATTTCAACATAGGAAAATTGTGTAGTGAACCATAGCCTGCGAGACTCGGTTTCAGAGGGCCATGTGATAGTGAAAATTTGCTTGACTTTAAACACCCACCAAATGTTTAAAAGTATAATTGACACTGCTTCGTCGTAATGAAATGAATAAGGACATTCTTAATTAATCAAACGTATCATCCTTTCGATTGAACCTCATTTACGTTACATGAAATACAGTAAAAAGAACGTAGTGTCGTTAAAATACAAAGGGCCTAAAAGACATGTAGGTCTTTTATCTTTTTTAAATCAATTGACTGCTTATACAGTTTTCAGAATAGCAAACTTCTTTTGACTCCGCATTTAATTACTTCGCGCACTCCACAGCCGTCTTCATTTAAAATGGCGCCCATGTCGGTGCATGTGCACCCTTGTAACCGTAAGAGGGTTTATTGAGTGCTAAGATATGTATGTACAACGTAAGCGTGTGTCCATGTGTAGATATAGGCCAATTTTATTCATGTTCAATTGCGTAGACAAATATTACCATGTAATAAACTTTCAAGTGCCAAATATGATTAAGGATATGACTTCTTATTGTAAACATGAAACAAGTGATGTATATTTTTTTTATAAAATGGCATCTCACGAGGCAATTCCCCTGAAAAAAAAATGTATAAATGTGTTTTATCTGTTGAGTGTAACACATTATTATTTAGACAGTTTTGCTATTGCAAGTAGTATTATTATGTTTGGTTTGTATCACTTAAAGAATACATGTCAACTTGAATGGTAATATGTGTGACAACGTCTCAAACCTTAGGTGTATACATGTGTATATTATATATATTTAATGAAGCACTTATGTGTGTTTCTTCATGCAATATTTCTTTAAATGTATTATGATTGTTATTGCTTTGTAAGACTAATGGTATTGTTTGTGTATGTTCATCTTGATAATACTAAGCAATGCGATGAACTATGTATAAATATATGAATACAAGATGAACATGATTTGTCACTCATCGGGTAAATATGGTAAAAGACCTAATATCTGAGGCAAAGTTTAGTCGTTTTAATTTTCAATTCTCAGATCATGCCCTACGGGAAGAGTGATTTATAGTTCTTCAGTTTAAAGAGCCGACATGAATTCAAAGCGAAGTCTTTTGATGAGCATACCATTTTATTCATCAGATAGGAGACCCTATGCAACCTGTAAACTTGTTAGGGAACATTTTCCCCCTCTCTTACACTAGTAAACGGCGAATATTCATGTACAATTAAGTTGATAAACCTTACCATGTAATAGACTTCCAAGATGCCAAATATGATAAAGATATGACTTTATATTACATACATGAAACAAGTGTTGTATATTATATACAATGGCATCTGGATTGACGTCATGAGGGAATTCCCGTGAAAAAAAATGTAATATGTTTGATATCTGTTGAGCGTAACACATTATTTAGACATTTTTGTAAATGCAAGTAGTTTTCAGCGAATGGATTATGTTTGGTTTGTATCACTTAAAGAATACATGAAAAGTTGAATGGTAATATGTGTGACAACGTCTCAAACCATAGGCATATACATGTGTATATTATATATATTTATTGGAACAATTATTTGTGTTTCTCCATGCAATATTTCTTTAAATGTATTATGATTGTTATTGCTTTGTAAGACTAATGATCTTGTTTGTGTATGTTCATCTTGTTTATACTAAGTAATGCGGTGCACCATGTATAAATATATGAATAAAAGAGGAACATGATTTTACCAGACCTGATATCTGAGGCAAAGTTTAGTCGTTTGAATTTTAAATTCTTAGATCATGTCCTACAGGGAGAGTGATTTTTAGTTCTTCAGTTTAAAGAGCCGACATGAATTCAAAAGCGAAGTCTTGTGATGAGCGTACCATTTCATTCATCAGATAGGAGACCCCCATGCAACCTGTAAATAAACTCGTAGGGAACATATTTCCCTCTCTCACACCAGAAAACGGCGAATATTCATGTACAATAAAGTTGGCAAATCTACCATGAAACAGATATTCAAGATGCCAAATATGGTAAGGATATGACTTTATATTGTAAACATGAAGCAAGCGTTGGGATGACATCACGTGGCAATTTCCGTGAAAAAAATAATTCTAAATGTTTAATATCTGTCGAACGTAACACATTATTATTTAGACATTTTTGTAATTGCAAGTAGTGTTTAGCAAATGTATTATGTTTGGTTCGTATCACTTAAAAAGACATGTATAATTGAATGGTATATGTGTGACAACGTCTCGAACCTTAGTCCTATACATGTGTATATAATACATATAATTGAAACACTTCTGTCTGTTTCTCCATGCAATATTTGTTGAAATGTATTATGATTGTTATTGCCTTTGTAAGTCTAATGATATTATTTGTTCATATTCATCTTGATGATACTACGCAATGCACTGAACAATGTATAAATATATAAATAAACGAATAAAGAGTTGAAAGAGTTCTGGCTTTGAGGTAATAAACCAAATCTATCATTGAACCAGATTCGATTGTACTTGCAATAGTCGTCTCATATATTGTGCGTACAAATATTATTATGTTTACCAACGTTCTGTTTACCTCCCGAACCATAGTTGGGTTAATCGTGTTAGGTAAAATGACATCCAAAACCTGATAAACGAAGAAAAGAAAGAAAAAAAAAAGGATTAAAGAAAGCCCGCCGCGTATGTTCTCATACGTCTCCCTGAAATGAACCGGAAGAAAACATCTCAAAAGCGGTTTCGATAATAATTGAATACATTTAAGGTATAATGTGTGGGTGTATTATCCGTCAGCTTTTCTTCGTATAACAGAATATTTGCTCAATTAAATGTCTCGAAAATTCGATGATATTCGTTTAAAAAAACACCCACGAATGCAATTTTCCTTTTTTGAAGGAGTGAATCTCCTGCATTTAGCAAGGACCATCGAAATAATGGAAACATTCAAATCACATTGCGTAAGCAAGAAAGCTTACTTTGTAAACAAATACATCTACTAGTTATACAGTAGAGCATTGAAGCCTTTCTTTCCCCATAATTATCTATATCACAATATTCGCAGGCTGACTGTAACGTTTGTATTATATTTATGAGAAAATTATGTTATTATGTTTAGAACTACAAATATCATGTCTTCTTCATGATTTGTTTATAATTCGTTTCTACATATGGCATACTAACTTTTAGTTTAACAATGATGTATGTAAATTATTCTTTTGAACGTATACATTTAAGTATGTTTCTCGTTATGTATTATCATTTTGATTGTAAATAATGTACTATTCGAATTTATGTTGCGCCGTATGATCATTTTTTCGTTGAAATGAATACATTTTTAATGGAATTGAAAATTATACCTAACACTTAACTTGTCAAGGAAATTAAATGAACACCATGTTTGTTTGTTATGCTGCCCTCTTGCGGGCAACGCTATGTAATTACTGATTTGTGTATGTTGGATGACCTTTGCAGTTCGACCGGCATATTGTTGACGTATATGCATGTCCTAATAAATGGTTGATTAAACTCTGAATTATTGTGGCTTGGAGTCTCTTTTAATGTCATTGTGACAGGAGGTATACGTACTCTGAAGTGTACTCTTTATAATTATGGCTGTTCCGATATAATTATGTCAGCCATTCAGTTGGCAAATCCTGTGTCTTGATTAGCCTGGTAGGCGCTCTAGTCAGACAAAATGATACACGCTCTATCCTATGACGCCTTGGATGTAAACACATTATGTAACTTT